CAAATAACCGAATGTTATATAAGATCAAATTAATGAAATATAACGAAACGTAGTTTGTGTCTTATTTATAGGCTATATGCAATAGAGTACAACAAGTACTTATGAAAAATGAACCATGTGTAGTAATTCCTATATATATATATACTGTATTAACCAAACTCCAAAGAATCTTAAAACAAGACAGAATTAAAGTATATTACAAAACAACGAACACACTTCGAAATACTTTAGTTCGAATGAAAGAAAAAATCCCACTCATTTCTACACAGAACTGAGTCTACAAATTACGTTTTGTCGATTGTGATGTTTTTTATATTGGAGAGTTATCTCGCGAAATCTTGACTCAGGCCAAATAACATACTAGGTACACAAAGAAACCTCCTAATAATCCTATAGAACTGGATAGACTTCAAATTAAATCGGCAATAGCAGTTCACACCATTTTCAACAATCATCAAATTGATTTAAAAAATATCAAAATACTACAAGAAGGCTTTTCCAATTACAAAGAAAGGAAATTAGCTGAAGCATTCCATATAATACTTAATCCTACTGCTCTCAATAGAAAGGAAGGCCTGACCATACATTCTACTTGGACTATTATTTACAATTCACACCATTACATTACAAATTAAACTCTATCCTTTGTAATTATAAAGGTCACACATTTTTCATCATTAACAGTGCACACATATATATCGCTTATGAATCAACTTTACCAAAATGACATGACATTGACTTATTCAGACCTGTTTTTCGATTGATCGCACCGAATATTCGTGTTGTTCCGTTGTACTAGTTAAACTTGGATTAATGTCAATTTGGTTATCTATTCTGTGAAGAAGTGGCTTACACTGAGTCACGAAAGGTCAGAAAATCTAATTTTTCTACTCATTGGGATATTACAAATATATTAGTTTATTTATAATCAATCATTATTTTCTAAACGTAATTTTCGATAATTGAAGTCAATAAAAAATTGGCTAATTATTTAATGATGGTTGATAATCACTTTTTGTCACCATATTTCAAAATGACATAAAATTAGTTCAATTAAGAATTATCTACATATTTCCACAAAATCAGACAAATTGGAAATAGTTGATTCCGAAAGTCGATATTCTTCAGAGTTTGAGACTAATTACCCTAAGAAAACTACTATTATTCTACGATGTACTCACAAGACACAAAGGTTTTGAAAGTCTTTTCGAATTATATAAGTTTGTAGTAAGAAACAAAAAATTCTACTCAATGACAGAAACTATTTTCCTGATACAGTTTCACCAAATATTATTCGAATTAAGTGAAGTCCATTGTACAAATAGTCTGGTATCGCCATATTTTAAGTTATCAGAGAAAAGAAAAAGAAAGGAATGAAATATTTAGTGTATCAACCTCTAAAAATTTAGTAACTTAAGTTGGTGTGTATTAATGAAAATCATGAAAGTCAAACAACATAGACATAGAAAAACAATGTTGTTTTCTTTAAAGGAACCTACTTAAATGGAATGAAATTTTACTGAAAAAGAACTATTAATTAGTTCATTTATCACCGTTATAAGCAGTTGATTGAAAACAATTGAACGCATTAATTACACTTCAGCGCTATTATAATTCAGTCAGTAAGAGATAAGAATAACGTTGTTTTTTTCTCAAATTACAAGTTGCTTTTAGTTAGTGTTGTATTGTGATGTGGGTTACTTATATCCACATGAGTAGTATATGACGATGGTCGGGCTTTGAATGTATTTCAGTAGAAGACCGATAATGAAAAAACGAGAACGAAACGCGGTTGGTATGAAAAGGCATGAACAATGATAACCGGAGACGATGGACTGATATTTCTAGAAGGAACGGTGAAGATTGAGACAACTGATTGATAGTTTGCAAATGAACTGTTTACTATATAGTTCTCATATTTTGGTAAGATATTCTGTAATTTTGTACTTGAATAGATTCAATTATCCCCATTTGTATTCTTGTTCACCACATTATGACTGTTCCTGATTTAGTTTCCTTCTTCACTTCATAACTAAATAGTTGAAACTAGATTCCTATTATGATCAATTATTTTTGTTTAAAAATTTTCATTGGTATTACGTTCAATTATTTGAAGTAAAACTCTGTTTTCTTACAACTGAATCTTATACTCATGAAGTGAAAATTTGTGTCAATTTATTCAAAAAGAAGAAATATCATAAAATTGAATAACAGACTAAATAGGCTTATAGGTCTATGAAACCTAGTGTAAGTGAACTGATGTCGGTGAGTTAGTTCAACCAAAAAAAATAACTTTAGGGTCTGAATTGTTCATGCGATTGAAATTCAACCAGAGTATTGATGCAGTTCTACTTCTATTAGTAATTTGCATTTGTATAGATAAAAAAATCTAAATTGTTAAATAACTTGAAAAATAAATCTAATAATAGAAGGGGTTGTGGATATAATAGTAGTTTCAATAGTTGAGATAATGATTATATTGAAGCTAGACCACCATGGAGAACCTGGAAGGACTGAACGGCCGTTTCGTCCCATTGTGGGACTCCTCAGTATTGCGCATTCACGATTCGAACCCAGGACCTATCAGTCTCGCGCACAAGCGCTTAACCTCCAAACCACTGAGCTAGCATCCAACGGTGGTCTAGCTTCAATTAACTAATGATCTCAACTATTGAAAAATAAATATAAACAAATCATTACGGTGGTAAAAAATGTTCTTTTTCTTATTGAATATTTATGTTATTAATTATCGTGTTGATATTTCAAAGAAACAGACCGTAACCTAAATGCCATCAGTTATCATGGAAATAAACATGTGACCTCTATCTACATAGATGTACAAACGCACATGAACTCATTCATATAAACTAACTGATATCCAAAGGAAATCATTTGAATTTGATCGTAAAGTGTAATCTACTAATTGCTTATAGAAATAAATGAATGTGGGTTGCTGAAATTTCAGAAATCAGGTCAACCTAATAATCAGCAGTTTAATATATAAACTTTATATTTGGAACAAAAATAAAACATGAAGCTCATTTTTTATTCAATCAGGGAAAATCATTTTTGTTTCATATAAAATCTGAATTACAACAGACTTTTTCAGTATGATATTAAGTTTATGTAACACACTAAGCAAAAAACTATGTAACTTCACTTTATATGAATTTTATATAGTTGAGATCACGAGTCAATTGAAGCTAGACCACCATGAAAAACCTGAAAGCACTGGACGGCCATTTCATCCTATTGTGGGACTCTTTATCAGTGCGCATCCACTATCTCGGCTCGCCAGATTCGAACCCACGACCTACCAGTCTCGCACGCGAGCACTTAACCGATAGACCACTGAGCTGGCATCCAACGGTGTTAATGTCTAACATCAACCAATCCACAAAATTGCGCGACCAACTTACATTGTACTGAGGTAGATACATGTCACTACCTGACATGGATTAGCTCCACTGGTCACTGGTCTATCGTTTAAGTGCTCTGTTGCGAAGCTGATATGTCCTGGGTTCAAATCTCGTGAGGCGCGATCGGGAATGTGAACTGCTGAGGCGTCCCACAATAGGACGAAACGGCCATACAGTGCTATCAGGTTTTCCATGGTGGTCTAGCTTCAATTGACTCATGATCTCAACTATATAGAATTACTAAAATCTCCACGAAACCCCATTCTGACATGAGTTTAACAGATAATTGTATACATAAATATCATCGTTATCAGTTGCGCTCAAGAAAAGTATATTATTTATCAATGGATACAAAGAACGAAAATAGTTCCTGACACGAATTGACTACAAATGAATTATCACTATAAACTAAGAAGCATCAGACAGCTATTTCTTTCTATCTTAATACTTTTATGAATTGCTGACTCACAAGATCATATCTAAGTGAGCCCAGGAACTGAAAGTTTTGTGGCTGCAGAATAATGAGATGGGATAAAACGGTTCAGAATATTCATTTTAAACGATCTGTAATATACACTGTTTTCTTCATTTAATGTCTTTGATAACTCCTACCATTTCTTAAAAACAGTCTGACCTAACATACTGTTAGATAAGTTCATTATGAGCATCATCCAATATAGTTGAATGAATAGCAAACAAAAGCAATTTAAAAAGTATTTCCTGACACATCTGATCGACTATGAGTGTTGGTTTAGCATGAATAAACCTAAATTGTTCATCTATATTACGTAGTTCATCGATTACCCATACCATTTCGTCCCTAATGTTTAATTTGCTACTTAAAAATTTCCTCAACAGATTATAAATCAATATTTTTACCCAAAATAACCTGAACCATATTAAATAAGCTATCAAAGAAGCCGAATATTTTTGTAACGTTGTAGATAATGTGCTACTAATTACACGAACAATGTCCAATAAAACAAAACCACAACGTGAAAACGTAAAGAATTGACTTCAGGAGAAGTTCCAATCAGCTAGCGTGAATATACTCAACATTCACTGGCCGAATACTAACAGCAACAGCGTTTTATGGGAGAGGACAAAGCAGCCTCCAGCTGGAGAGGAAATTAGGAAAAGACGTTGGAAGTGGATCGGACATACATTAAGGAAATCACCAATGTGCATCACGAGGCAATTTCTAACTTGGAATCCGGAAGGGAATCGGAAAAGAGAAAGGCCAAAGAACACATTACGCCGGGAAATAGAAGCAGATATGAAAAGGATTAATAACAACTGGAAAGAACTGGGAAGGATTGCCCAGGACAGGGTTGGATGGAGAATACTGGTGAGCGGCCTATGCTCCTCGACGAGGGGTAACAGGCGTAAGTAAGTAAGTAAGTGAGCGTGAATATTATTGAAATCTTAAAAAAAATGCATGGAATAAAACTTCTGCCCAAATTTTAATATTTGTCTTATATTCATTTAAACTGATTTATTCACTCTATTCATACAATTTGCTATGTATTAATCATATAATAGTCTATTCAAGCATTTCAATCATAAACTTTTCGAACTCACTTTAATTTGATTATTCGACAAAATATTAGCTTTTACATAATGCTGTTGATTATTCATACAATTAAAATAAGGATGTTGATCACCTCCATCGAAACATCGTGAGCTACATTGTAACAAATTCATAGCGGTTTCAGCTATTTTTACTACTGGTTTACACATATTATTAGTATAAGTAGTATTAGTAGGTGTAGTGATATTTGCAATACTTTTATTAGTTTCTCTAAACTGTAATTTGTTCATATCAAGTAATTTTTTGTCGATCATATACGATGAAACATTTTCTTCTATCAATTTTGTACCATTTTTCGAGACAATCGGTCTACGACCATGTACTCTTGGAGGTATCGGTGGTGCGATCGAAGATAAAGTGGATATAATGTTAGTTGAAGTAGTAGCAGTAGTAGTAGTGACTCGTGGAGAAGGATTAACAACAAATGGAGTCATACTGCCACCACTGACAATAGAAACACTACATGGTGCTTCAAATGAATGTTCTTTTGTATTTGATGAAGAATGATTCCTTCTCTGAAGAGAATAAAAGTATGCACTTGGTACATGTTCAAGTACATTAGGATTTTTTGTTTGAGATGTATACGAGGTTGATGACGAGGTAGGGGATCGATAGAAAACGTGATGATTATTTAAAATCTTATTTGTTTGAGAAGATTGCTTTTTGATATTGTTCGTGGTTTGAAGATGATTGTAGGAAGAATCAAAATGATTCTGATTAATATATCCACTCATTAACTGGTTATTTCGATTATTATAGAAGATAGGCTGCTAAGTGAAACAAAAAGAGCAAATGTTCAGGTTGCATATGGAATATAATGTTTAATGTCTCACTAGCATTTAAAATGATTTGTAAACTATTCAGTGTTACTAGAAAACACATGTATGTATATGACTGATTACTTATATATTACTAGTGTGGTGTGTGTTACCTATGTCAACATAAGTAATATATAACGCCAATCAGAAATGAAATGTTTGACAGCAGAAGGCTGAGATCGAATAGAAGAGAATGGGAACAGAGAATGCTTGATATGTAAATTAGGGAACAATAATGTTTGAGACAATTAATGGACATTTTGAAAAAGAAGGATTAAACGTATAATTTTCATATTTTACCTAAAAGCTGTAACTTTGTGTTAAAATATAATTTGGTTGTAGTTGTGTCCTTATTCATAACACTAGCACTGTTTATCATTCCTATGCTAATAAAAGAATATTACGTTGATATCTAAACAACTTTAATTGGTTGAAAATAAAATCATCTATCCAATTCTACAAAACTAACTCCATTTAATTATGAAATAGATGCTCATTTAGCGTCGCCATCACAATAATTTTCTTAGAATGAAAAGTTCAAAATAGAACTAAAGAATATTCTCTTTAAAGAAGTCCTACCGTCGCTTATAATCTGATTCTGTTATACTACGCATACTAATCATTTTAACGTTTACACATGTTACCCACATTGTCATATTGAAAATATTGAATTCTTATCCTATTATTTGTAGACAAAAAAAGTTTCTCTAAACCATAACTCATCATGTTGATCATTAATTGAATATGTATGCGTCATGAACAAAGACTATGTAGGGATAAGCAATTTATTGTTTGTGCAAAATCACACAGTGGCTTGGTAAAATATGGAAATCATGAGTTAAATACATTATTTGTAAATCCTTTTTACATTGTTCTTTACATATTCCATTATTACATTCATTCTGTTGTTATTTTGATTGTTCCCAGATATTTTTCCAGTTCTGTTCATTGAAATCTTCTTCTACCTTGGATTTCATTATTTAACCTCCTATTGGCGCTACATACTACTTATATCTGTCAATATAAGTAGAGTATGCCAAATATGTTTATAATCGGAAATCCCACAGACAAATTTCTCTGTTTATATTACATTTCTATAATCATTAGACATACTATAATATTCAACATTTATATTATTGATGAATGGAAGTCCTATTAATGAAGTAATATGTATGTTTAGGATAAATTAACAAGTGTCTCTGTGTTTCCAGTTGTGTAAAATGAATTTGGTAGCAAAAATAAACACGAACGTAATTTATATTCTTATGCTAACTGTTTATCAACATTATGAAATCAGAATTCTTTTTTAGTCCATTATAGTACCTAAATAAATTCAATTAAGTCATCTATTAATGGAATGTACATTCGTAAAAACGACATTCTGTTTTAATTATAAAATCATACCATGTTGATAAATGTTATTAAAATTTCCAAACTTATGTACTCAATAGATTTCGATAGTGTAATAAGAAGACGGAGATAATCAGAACGAGTTACACCTTGCAATATTCAATACGGTTCCAAAAATGTTTGCACAGTTTAACGTTATATTTAGAAATTAGTTAATCATGATTAGGTTGTAAAGCTCTAGGTATGACTTTAATATACCAATATAATTGGAAATTTATACATGTGGAAGAATACTACTTATAACACAGAGAATACAACTAGGTAGTTGTTTAGCTATGTTCCTCTTCAAACTTCTGTTCATACAGTAAACCCTGACACACTGAACCAGGGAGAAATGCTGTAAATTGTTTTATAATAGTTAACTTCGTTCGTCTATGTAAGCTAGACCACTATTGAAAATCTGGAACAACTAGATGACGAATTCGTTCTAGTATGTGACTCCTCAGGAGTACGCATCCACGATCCCTCACGCAGGGCTCGAAACCAGGAATTTTGATCTCGCGCACAAATGTCTAAACTCCAGATCACTGAGCTGGCATTCAACAACGTTAATGTCTAACCTCAATCAATCCATGAACTTGAGCAACCTTTCATCCATTGTCTAAGGTGGATAACTGTCTCCACCCGACACGGTTAGGACTCCACGGCCGTCCAGGGCATCCAGGTTTTCAGTAATTGTCTGGCTTAGATCGCCCCATGAGTTAAACTATTAAAATTACTGCAAACTTCATAAATCCTCATTCTCTTTTAAAATAATTAGGGTGGAATTACGTAGACATGTACCTACTTGTTTTGTTTACCAGTAAAAGATAAAATTATAAACTTGACTAATGTAAACATTTATTTTAAACAGACATAGTGACCTGACAATGTAATTCGTTGGTGAGTTTCTCTCAAGAAAATATACCATGATTCCAGGCGATATATATGCAACATGAACATTTTCATGATATTCACATACCTCATTTATCTGATGTCCACTAAAATGACGAATTCTTTGATGACTACAATTTATTCGTTGCAAGTCATTTGCAGGCACATATGTTGGCATTAGAATGCATGAGTCATGATGAACAAAATTTCCATTTAATTGATACTGAGGTTGTTGTTGATGTTGCTTCACTTGATCCTGATGAAAAGGTTGATGATGAAAAATCAGGTGACCATCATGAGTCGGTGGATATGTTTTAACATGACTACATTCACCATTGTTTTGATGATGAACATTTAAGTTGTTCAGAATATCTTCTTGTTGAAGTGAATTTCTAACATTTAATTTTTGATTTTCCGATGGTATTTTTTCTTCATTTTTAGAAATATTATTGTTGTTATTATCAGTTGGTGGTAGACTACTACCACGTGAATGTCCATTTTTGTCATTTGTAAAATATCGTAAATATTGTTCTGCAATTATTCCTATCGATTGTCGTCGACGCACATTATTAAATAATTCATTATCTTTATTTAACCGCCACCATTTCCATGATTTTTTTGATTCTGAATTATCATCCATTAGATTATCTGTAAGTGAATTTCTAGTAGGTGATAAATCAGTTTTGTTCCTCATATGAAATGATCTTTGAGGAGACTGAAAAAAGAAAACCATATCAACAAGATAAATTTAGTTGGATGGAATAAAGAATAAGCGATATGTCAAATGAAATTTTGAATAAATAGTCTATACTAAGTGATATTGGTTAATGAATGTTAGTATGAAGATCACATTAATAACATAACTACCGATTAAAATAATTGTAACTTTGGTTTCAATTAATTAACTCTAGATAAGTAGAAGTCATGGGTTTGCCAATTTTAGTAATCAAAGATGTAAGATGTCAAATATAATTTTTGAAAAGACATACAGTAAGTGTTAGTAAATATTTAAACTTGACATAAATAGACAGTTTCATTCAAAGGAAAATTCAAGCATAGCAAGTTTGTAACGCACTGATTTCTGAAGTTAAATAAGATAGCCTATTAATACATAGATACTTAAAATTAATTCTAGTGAATATAAAGAGAAATGAAACCAAGAATTTTATTGAACCGTAAAATAGATTATACTCGTTGCATAATGTGAAAGATCTTTAATTCTGTACATATAGATCAAGTCGGAAAAGTTTGATAATGATCACCTCTAAGAAAACAGAGTAAGATAGATATCCTTTTGTTTATTCATTATTTTGAATATTTATTTATTTATTTAAACACATAAATATTGGTACAAGGAGGCACCAGATATATATGCTCCGCATAAATATCATTCGATTTGTGTGGGGGCTATGATACTGCCCAGGTGTCCAAACCGAAGCAGGTGGTTTTCTTAGGGGACCACACCCGGAGCCTTTGACCTAAAGATCTGATCCACAAAGCAGTGGAGCATCGTGAGGAGATGCAGTCTCATGGTAGCCGGTGACCAACGACTGATTCGTACGCCATTTGTTCCTTCAGGATACTGGAGCCCATGTGCACCATTGGTTTGGAATCAGAGTTTTCCAACTCCACTAGGTGGACTCGCCGTGTCCATCAACCCGGTTAAAGCGCTGGACATTCACTTTTCGTTTTCTCAGTTTCGTAAACATCACCCCCGCCACGAGAAGGCATTGAGTAGGACTTCCCTGGCAGTGGTTATATACGCGTGGTCATGTGAAATCAATCTCCCAATCTCGGCCGTACCAGGGCATTAGGGGGCATTACCAAGGCATTTGGGAGCTTTATTTTGAATGCATCACTTATTTTCATTTCATGTTCACTAACCAGATGTCTAACAATTACACTTGTAAATGTTTCACTCTCTTTTAGTCATAAACTTTACAAACTAAAGTACGTTAAACGTTTGTTGATAATTAAATTTATACTCATAATTGTAATTTTAGATTGCATACAGTTGATGAAAAACCAAACATCTCAAAAGAAGAATACAAGGCCCTACATTCACTTAAAAAGGACAAAACGATCATAATCACGAAAGCAGACAAAGGTAACACAACAGTAGTCATGAATAGAATAGATTATGTTAATAAAGCTCTTGAACATCTTGCAACAGGACCTTATGAAAAGATCAAGCAATCAAATTCTCAAACGATGAAAAATAAAGTCAAATCAGATACAAGTGAACTTTTGAAAGAGCTAAAACCAGTCATTGGGGCTTCGCTTTGGTTTGCTTTGTATCCCAAATCATGTAATACTTCACGGTTCTATGGTTTACCGAAAATTCACAAACCAGATATTCCTCTAAGACCGATAGTAGATTTTACCAACACACCAACATATGCTTTATCTAAATATCTAAGCAACATATTAAAGCCACTACAGCTTAACGTACATAATATGATTAAAGATACATATGACTTTAAATCAAAATTATCGGATTTAATTATTGAAAAGAATGAAGTCATGGTAAGCTTTGATGTTGTATCTTTATATACTAGTATTCCAATTGATATATGCTTAGAATTCATTAGTGGCTTACTAGAGAATGACATTACTCTATCGGACAGATGTCCTTTAAGCATCAGTTTAATCATGAGATCGTTAAAACTCTGCTTAAATTCAACTCTATTCACCTTTAACGGAACGTTATACAGACAAACAAATGGTGTAGCAATGGGTTCTCCCGTGTCCCCGATTGTGGCCAATCTTTTTATGACACACATAGAATCAAAGATTTTCTCCAACGAAATTAAACCACGAATTTGGCTCAGATATGTAGATGACACATTTGTAGTAATAAAAAAGACGCATCTAAGATCGTTTTCAAAACGGATAAATACACTTTCATCTCACATCAAATTCACGAATTAGAATGAAAATGAACATGGAGAGCTACCGTTCTTAGATTGCTTAGTGAAAAGAAATATAAATGGAGTTCTAAATTTATCCATCTACCGAAAGCCCACACACTCTAATCGTTACATCGACTTCCATTCAGCACATCCTTTCAGTGCTAAAATTTCGTTAGCCTTAAATCTTGTTAGAAGAGCCAACAAGATCATCTCTTCAGAAGAGGACAAACAAAAAGAACAAAAGAATATAATTAGCATCTTACAATTTAATAATTTTCCTATGAAGATTATTAGAAGTATATTAAAACAAGACAATTCAGTACGCAATAATAATAATAATAATAATTCGATTGAAATGCCATGGATTGGTACTGCAGTCTTACCATACCGTCATGGCACAACTGAAGAACTCCAACGGATATTAAGACAACACAGAATTAAAGTATATTACAAAACAACTAACACACTCCGAAATACTTTAGTTCGATTAAAAGAAAAAATACCATTCATATCTACACAGAACTGCGTCTACAAATTAGGTTGTGTCGATTGTGATGCCTTCTATATTGGAGAGTCATCTCGCGAAATCTTAACTCGCGCTAAAGAACATATCAGGTACACAAAGAAACCACCTAATAATCCTGTAGAATTAGAAAGACTTCAGATTAAATCAGCAATAGCAGTTCACGCCATTTTCAACGGTCATCAAATTGATTTCAAAAATATCAAAATACTACAGAAAGGTTTTTCTAACTACAAAGAAAGAAGAGTAGCTGAAGCTTTCCATATAATGCTTAATCCCACAGCTCTCAATAGAAAGGAAGGCCTTACCATACAGCCTACTTGGACCATCTATCCTAGTCACTCAGTCTGATATTATTTACAATTTCACACCATTACATTACAAATCAAACTCTATCCTTTGTAATTATAAAGGTCACACAGTTTTCATTATTAACAGTGCATACATACACACAAAATTACATACATGTCGCTTATAAATCACCTTGACCGAAATGAAATGACGTGACAGTGATTTATTCAGACCTGTTTTTGATTGATCACCTAATATTCTTGGATTGTTCCGTTGTACTATTTAAACTTGGATTAATGTTAATTTGGTTATTTATTCTCTGAAGAAGTGGCTTACACTGAGTCACGAAACGTCAGAAAATCTAATTTTTCTACTCATTGGGATATTACAAATATATTATTTATTTATGAAATAGAATGAATTCCTCTTTTCTATAAACCTTGTTAATATTGCTTTGTTTAAATAGATTCCTAGGATGTACCAAACTACGATATAATTTCAAGTCTTGAAAATGCAGTTCATAAATTTGTAGAGAAAAATGTATATATTGACATATTCTGCTTTGTAACACAACAACAGATGGATCAGATTTCATAATTTTTTTTAAACAAGAAGAAGAGAGGTATTTTAAACAAAAGACTAAAACACTTCCTGAAATCATGATCCCTGTTTGCCGGTTAAATTTCTATTTTTTTCAAACAAAAAAACAACAACATTAAATAAACACTTGTCTAGACGATTCAGTTATTCTTTATTTACTATAATTTGAACATCTGTTTGGTAGTTGTAATTTGATCTTACTAACTTGTAACTAGTCTATATTCAGCTGTTGTCATGAATCATACACACTTATTAAACTTAATTAATCAGCTAGTTTCACTAAATACCTAGGAAATATATTGAAATAGATGAGTTAATCAGAATTCAGATTATTTAATAAGAGAGAGTTAAAATGGAAAGAGATTACAAGGCAGTTGGCTTTTACTTATATATTTTCAAAACAATAGAATTTTAAGTTGTTATATATATATATATATATATATATCCTATCCACCTCAAACTCTTTTTCCTAAAAATCTGAAGAGGAAATTAGAAAGAAATGTCGAAGGTGAATAGAACATACGTTGAGGAAATCACCGAACTGTATCGCGAGGCAAACGTTAACTTGAAATCGTAAAGGGATAAAACGAAAAGAGGGAAGCAAATAACACACTACGTCTGGAATTGAAAGAAAATATCAAAAGGATGAACAGCAACTGAAAACAACTTGAAAGGATAACCAAGGACAGAGTTTGATAGAGAATGCTGGTGAATGGCTTGTGTTCCTCTATGAGGAGTAAAAGACTTTAGTAAGTAAGTAATATCCAAGTTTCAGTTTGGGTTTAATAAATTCATAAAAATATGTAAAACATATGTTTCCTAATCTGATGCTCGACATTACTTATCGTTGACCAATAAGTGTTTTACGCTAAACTAATTCATGCATCCGAAAATGTATTGTATTTTAACAGATTTTTAACTATCCCATCAACACAATGATTAGTCCTAATATTAAGGAAATCTGTCCTGTTAACGAATAGACCACTATAATGTTTCTGTTTGATAAATTCATTTAAGAAGCATATCTAGCTTAAGATTGGTTAACTCAATAAGACAAATTGAAATTTTAGTTGTTCATCAGTTCGGTAAAGATAAAAATAAACGTTTGTGACTCATTTTATTTGGATTGTTTTATGAGGTCATAATAGAAAAGACGACTTGTATATTTTTATATATTACACATAAATATTCATCCATATCAGGAATGGTTTCAAATTATCATGATTTTCTATAGTGAATCGACTAAATAATGTTCAGTGTGCATCGTATCAAGTTGCAGCATTAAACATCTAAGCTAATGATGATATGAAACTGTTCAAAAGGAATTAGGTAGGATAGGATTACATTATATAACTCATTAATTGATAATGTCTAATAAAAATTAAATTTGATATATTTTTATATCAAACTTAGGTATTTGAAGAAACTGCTTTATTGAAAATAATGCTATCAAAATAATAAGTATATAAAACTCTATGAAGAGGTTTACAAATGATGCAGATTTTGTTAACATATATGATGGTATATAGTGGAGATCATGAGTCAATTGAAGCTAGACCACCATCGAAAACCTGAAAGCACTGGACGGCCGTTTCGTCCTATTGTGAGACTCCTCAACAGTGCGCATCCACGATCCCACCTCACGAGATTCGAACCCGTAACCTACCAGTCTCGCACGCGAGCACTTAACCGATAGACCACTAAGCCGGCATCCAACGGTGTTCATGTCTAACTTCAACCAATTCACGAAATTGAGTAACCATTCATCAATGTCTTCAGTGAGTTGATATCTCCCAACAGACCTGGTTGAACTCCACTGGTCATTGCTTCTCACTAGAACTCCAGGAAATACCTCATGGAGCCAGTCACTAGTGAGTATATAATCATTATCAGAAGCGCACTGCTGAGGAGTCCCACAATAAGACGAAACGGCTGGCCAGTGCTTCCAGGTTTTCCATGGTGGTCTAGCTTCAGTTGACTCATGACATCAACTATATAGAATTACTAAAATCGCCACAAAACCCCCTTCTGATGTATGGTGGTAGTCAACAGAATCGTTTATCATTATCCATATGATCATATTAAGATAAATACTGGTAAATTTTATTGACTAAACTGAGAAAATAAATACGTTACCTTCTCCTCTGTAATGCTAAAGGCCTCGAATTATGACGCAGGAAATTCAAAGTATGCGTACAAAAGAATCGTTCAACCAATTATTTCCGTGTGGATCAAGACTTTACGTTTTTTTACTTATGTAATCTCTTAATAGTAACATTTGTTTGTACCCTATTAATATATTTTAATTCCTAATTTCTGTTATCTCTATTCTCTGCACTAGTTTATTTCTTCTTTGAGAATTTATCTTGTTAAATTATACAGCCCAGTATCAGAATACTTATTATCTACCCAGTTTTAGAAACGTACCTAACTTTTGTCTAGATCTTTAGAAAAGAGTAACTGCTTTTACGTACCACTAACTACTCTACACATTTCACTACTCTTGATCGGTTATTATCATAAACAAGTTTTGTAAAACATATATGTGTTCGATTGTACAGTTTTGAGAATAAAATTGTCAAAAAATGATCACCTTTTGCTCGATCACATTCTTATTTTTATAACTAACTGGGTGGTTTTTGCTCATTTAGAATAAATGGTTGGAATGAATTTAACTAATTGTTATCATAACACATAATTTCAATGATTCATGTAGTGTCCAACTGTAATTCCAGCCATGAAACTCTGTTCATTCATTGTACACATATATTCCCTTCATTATGTCGCACTATTCACATTTTCAGTTGGTGAGTCTGAGTACTATTTTTAGTTCTCGAGATCTTGAAACAAATGTTTATGTCCATCCCGAGAACGTATACAGTTTGCTCTCTGTTGGTCTGATAATATCATGTATCGGGGCATTCCAAATGAACTCTTTACTGCAGTTGATGACGACTTCCCTGATGGTTTCGCCATTCATTCTTTCCATTGGAAGCTCTTTCTTTGGTTATTTCACATCGCACTTAAGAGAAGCCCTTCAATTTGACATGGTACTTTCTTCTTATTCTGTTTCTCTGCAGTAATTCTAGGTTTTAATAGTTGTCTAACATTGGTCGGTTAGTACTCTCGGTCAAAACTCATCAATGTTCATAACCCTATACTGATATCATAAAATGTTTTCTACGTAGCAGATAAACTATAAGAACAAATAAACATAAATTTAATAATGAGTAACACTGAACTTACTTCAGGAATTCTATCATGAGCACTCTTTGATCTACGTGAATTACGAAACCTTAACCGTGCTGCTATACCTCTAGATCTATTTGCAACTGAAGAACTATTAGGATGATCTAATACTTTATGTGGAGTGGATACTATTGGGTTTCTTGTTTCACTATTACATCGAATATTGAAATGATCGGAGAGAAAATTTGATTCATCCAAGACGGTTCCAGTGATCGCCTAAATCGAAAAAAAAATATATAAAAATCTGATACTTATAAACAAAATCTCACAATTATGTTTTATATAGCTAGTCTTAAAACCAAATTCTACTGGTTTCAAATAACCAACAAAGTATATGTACAATTTAAAGAAAAACTAATATTTCTCGTTGGTTTTAAATTTGTGTCACTCCGTATCACAGTTGGTGACATAACTACTGAGAGTAATTTGAACTGCCGTTGATCTTCAATAGATATGATATATTTATGTTGATTAATTGATGAGTAGTAACTAATGTCAAATTGTTGTATCCAAACGGAGAAAAAGGGAATAATAACCTCTTGGAATTAATTATGGACTAATATTATGAGTTTATTCTCATTGTACAACTATGAAGTGACTATATTATGCATATATTCATATTGCTCTTATTATAAGCTTTCATTTAACCTATTGAATATTATTATACGATTAGGCATTCTTAAGATATTCCTAGTATATTATTACGGTCTCTTACAATCACAGCCACTTTTGGGCTTGATCTTATATAATTCTTATTTTCCATCTATAGTATGATGCGAGCTGATATGTTTGTATATAAACCCAGTATGTCTGAAATACATTATTCGTATCGTGGAGGTTGATATTGATGTTCTGGACTAAACCGGGTTGGTTAAGAGAGAAGCTATTATCTAGGTGAGACGACAATAACTCCTGGCTGCTCGTATAGGTTTGTGTGTCTTTAATATGGTCCTATAAATCGGTGTCTCTAACCGGTGGTCGTAACGCGTGATATAATCAACCGGACATAAGGACATAATATAAATGTGTCTAGTCACTTTTGTAAGTAAAATATAAGAATGTTCGATATTATACAGTTTATTTTTATTATCCTTTATTAGCACTGCTTTCATGAAATTTCCTAAATGAAATCCACATTGAGGTCAGTTTGGGAAACATCAGAGAATAAATGTGTATGTCACCTATAATTTGAAACTACTTTCAAAAGTATTGAAGATGTATAAATAGTTAACAGATAACAATAGTTTTAAATAATCTTAGTAATTGTAACATAAAGCTGTTTGAAGTTGATGAAAGATCTCGAAATTTAATGAATTTATTTTATTTCCCAAATCTTAGTCTTCCTTTATTTACAAAAGAGAAGCGCCCAGGCTTATAATACGGAACTAATATTTCATTATATTTGTATATTACATGTGTTCTTTTAAGTTTAACTAGATTTACTTTGAAGGAATTTAATTTTACAGCCAATGTTTTTGTTTATTTTACAGCAGACATTTGAAGAAAAAATGAAATTGAACATTTCTTATTCATATAAAACTGTATGGTTATTGAAGAAAACGAGTAATAGCTTGTGATAATGACTATTCCAAAGCATTCCTTCAATAAATGATGTAAATTCAATGGCAAATAACAACAATGAGAGAAATCAAACCCCAAGTAATAATCCTCTAGATGTCATATCGTTAGATAAGCTACTATTTACCTAGAATCAGTAGTTTAGTAGATAGGACGTTATTATTTGAAATAAAAGCTACTAAGTTTGAATTATGATAAAAACATGAAGACTGGAATTCAGTTAAATCCAGTTGGTTGATCCAAATCGGACAAAACGTTAATCACTATTCAGTTTAACTAAAAACTTATAACCATATGGCAATATAGAAACAATTCACTGAGAATCTATGTATGTCAAAAATACATAGAATAATTGTAGTCATGAAAATCAACAATATTATGATGATGAATGATATGAAAAATGAAAACAAGTATTGTGCAAAATATTTATCTTATTCATAAAATGGTGACCAATAATCTTAAAAGCAAAACAATAATCTGAATTATTGACTAGCCATTTTTTGATAAAATATAAACAGATGCTTGTCTTACAGTTACACAATAGTTATTACCTATGTGTAATATTTTTTGAAAAAAAATATGTTTGTGTAGAACATTCATTGATGATGATGATCATCATCAACATAATAGTGGTTTGAAAAACACTTGAACCAGATGGAAAACATTCACGAAAATGGTCGATTAATGACGTTTCTATTCTTAAGTGGATGAAGTTCTATGTGTTCACACCTGTTCAGTGAATATATTTTTCATGAGGACTTTCCTGGAGTTCTAGTGAGAAGCAGTGGCCAGTGGAGTTCAACCAGATATGTCGTGAGATAGTAACTCACCGAAGACAATGGTGGACGGTTGCTCAACTTCGTGGATTGGTTAAAGTTAGACATTAACACCGTTGGATATCGGCTCAGTGGTCTAGTGGTTAAGCGCTCGCGCTAGAATGACAGGTCCTGGATTCGAATCTCGTGAGGCGGGATGGTGGATGTGCACTGCTAAGGGGTCCCTCAATAGGTCGAAACGGCTGCCCAGTGCTTTCAGGTTTTCAGTGGTGGTCTAGCTTCAATTGTTTCATGATTTCAACTAAATAAAATTAATTTAAATAGTTTGTTGGCTTTTGAGACAAAAAATATCAGAATGATTATTATGTGAAGCACTTTTATAATTTTGGATCTTTACCTAGGTTTTATGCATTTTCATTTTAATAGATAAGTTATTGGAGATTGTTGATTTACATCAAAATTATGAACCGATCAATATTAAACCATTCAAAAAAATCTGAAAACACTGGATTGCTATCTCGTCTTTTATATGGAACTCCTCAACTGAGGAGTGCCTCCAGGTTTACAGCAGTGGTCTATCATTTATTAGTTCATGATTTCAATGATTTTCGAATTCATTTTATAGATTATCACTAAGAATTAATACATCTTTATGTTTAAACAAATATGACAACAGAATTGGTATGAGGAAGTCTTTTCGACTGATCATCTACTTTTGATTTATCACAGAATCTACAACCTGATCGTTTCTACCTAAAATAAGAACTTGATAAAATTTTATTTCTAATTTGACTGACCTAAGTTTGTAGAATTGAAATTCAGAAAAAATGATATGGTACCTGAAAATTTGAACGAGGCTAATTTGATATTTTTACTCTTGTATATGATCATCCAATCCATTCATTTTATTCATTAGTTTGCAATAAGATTTAGTAATAAATTTAATTGACTATTTAAACTACTAAGTGTCATTTTTATAGAGAATTTATGAAAAAAACTGTTTGATTGAGTCTAGACATTGATTTGTTTCCAAGTTCCCAAGTTTAAAGAAGACATTAACATGTGCAGAAGGATCTGTTTGAAGTTTATCACCTAATATAGGATTTCAAAATCTGATAATCATTCAAACGTGCCTTCTTCGTTTGAACTGTCATGACATGCCAACATGATTGTAAGTTCATTCATTGGTTATTTTTCTCCTAGATCATTTTTAAATCACCTAGTTCTAGCTAGCCTCACTGATAATAGGATTGAGGTTTAAACGGTGGGGTAACAATAAATATATAATAGATCAGATATAGGTAATTTCGTTGTTTCAGTTTCTCCGTAACCATAGTTTTCCTAGTGTAAAATAAGTCTTATAAGATCCCAACAGACCAAATATTCTTGACATAAAAATTTAAGTCACAAGCTATTTACCTTTAGAATGAGAAACTAGTTATTTAATATTCATCTATACATTTATCATTCATCCTATATACTTTACTAATTTATTGATCGTGAAATTATTTACATATTAGTTGGAAATCACAGAACGTTTGTATAAATCGTAACCCCACATAGACCATAAAAAGCCAAGCATTTTTTAATTTTTAAGTGTTCGACACAAAATATACATGAGAAATGTGTTTCATGATAGTTACTTTGAGCACATGCTTGTAACCTTGATGATTTATGCTTATAAAGGAATTTCAAAGAAAGCATTAATCATTGTGTCACATTTATTGTAAAAGTTGATTTCAACCGCAATTTGCTATCATCATTGTTACGAAATTTTTAAAATTTTAGTTAAATAGAAAAAAATGAACCCAAATGTTTTCCTCGAAATCCGAAAAACCATTCAAGGATATCTCTAGGGTAATCAGAATTTTTTTTTAAATATCAAATCCAAAATCAGCACATTTTTGTTCACTTCAAAAAACAACCTTCAATTAAGAATCACATCGAAATTTATGGCATAGAAAACACTTTGAATGAAATCTACATCCTTATTTTGTAGCTAAACAAGTAAAGTTAGGAAAGAATGTAACAATGTTTTCAGATTTTTTGAGTAATCCTAACACTATTCATTGGTTTTCTTTTTTTTAATATTTTTTCCCTTTTTTAGTTTATATATCTTGTGTAAAAAAAATTCCGCTTGTAGCTTTATTAGAGTTACTGCTAGTGCCGAACCCACATAAAGAAGGAGGGTTAGTCGTTGGGCCGGCAACCCCATCCAGTTGAAAACAACATTGCTTAAAAACGCCAACTACAATAAACAATGTAAACTGTTTAAACTCTGCTCTGGGGGTTGAAGGATATTAATTCAGACGAATTATGAAGCCTCAATATGAAAGCCTCGGAACTCACGAGGCTGATGCCTATTCTAACAGCCAGAGCAACAATTAACATAGGTACATGGATCATCCGGACAATGTAGTAGACAGGGAGAACCAGTTGAATAGCAACGCAAATGGGGAGATACAAATTGGCAGTACTCGGAATCAGTGAAACCAGTTGAACCCAAGCTTGACAACAAAGGCTAGATACAGAAGAGTTAATGCCAAATTCCGGTCACGAAGAGGACGATGCTCCGAAGTAAGATGCACTCGAAATATTTTATTTTGTTCCTCAATTCAAGTATAATAATTCACATTTTATCAATAATTAAATTATTTTCTTTTTCGAAAAAATAAGTCGTTACTGAATATCTGTCCCATGTTTTTGTTGTGACAGGCATTGTTCGAATTCTGATACTGATACACGGTGTGCTACGCTCTAACCCCCAAACTGACTACTTGAGCGAGAAGAAAAGAGTGAGTGGGTAAGTGCATTTGACTACCGAACGAAATGCACAAGTGCTCATTCATATGTATATATACC